AGGTGCATCTGTAAATCTGGTGGCATCTAGTTTCTTGCTGAAGATGGACACCAAGTCATCATGAAGTAGGACTTGGAAGTTTGAATAGAGGAAGTGTGAATAGTTATTGCATGGAGGGAAAGAGCAGGTCGGCCAGAAGGAGGTAGCAGGATCACCAGGCAGTGTTGAGGGCTCAGGTGGTGACCATGAACGTGAAGCACCAATCTAAGCCGACCTGCGAGCCTGCCCGCTGGGACTCAGAGACCCAGTTGCACACAAAGAGAAGGAAATAATTCAGTTCATCAAGGATTGGGGTGTTTCCACAAAGGTATGATTAAAGGTCAGAGAGGCAAGGGACCTTATAATATCGACAAGAGTGGCAGAAATAGTAGTAGCCTGTCCGATCTAAGATGGATAGAAAGGGAAGTGAAAGTGGAAGGAGCTGATGGCTGAAAACCAAGTGGCGGCAGCAGTGGAATGGTCGTCCTGAGTGAAGACCAGGCACAGCGGGAGCAGTGGGGCAAGAACCAGAGGCTGTGGGCAAAGCGCGTCCACATCTGTACGGGGGGGAAATAACAGAGTTGCAGTGAGGATTCAGTGTGACAGGACGTGCGCGTCATGAACACCACACCGATGTTTGCTTGTTTGTTCACTAGGCCGTAAGCTTCCTGAAGGCAAGAATCACGTCTCAGACAGTCCTGCTCCCAGCATAAAGCCTAATGCCTCACAGGTGCTGAGAGAATCTGTGAGTGTTAGAAGGACGAATGAATGAACTGATTTCCCTTTAAGAGCTAGGCTCTGCCAGAATTTTCTGGACTAGAAAGTCCAGGAAACAGCTGGTCCTTCAATATTCTCGTACACAGACTAGCTGAAGTCTGACAACAAGGCTGAAAGATCAGACTGTGTTCTGATAATGGCAGAGTAACTTGTACTGGAAAATACAGATAGATATAGAAATATATATATATACTGACAAAATATAAAAAATAGTTATTTGAAGACATTGGAGAGTGATCAAAAGAGCACAAACTGAAAGAGATTTAGTGCTTAAAAGAGGGAAGACACACTGGGTGAGATCCGTATTTACCTGGCTTTTACAGGTTTTATGAGGTACATGGGGGTGGATAGAGCTCAAGAAGAAATCAGCGGTCTTATTAAGAAGTCAGAGTTTGGTGCTGTCAGATCAGCTGGAAATTGACAGGCACCCTCAGAAAAGAAGGAACAAGAACAGAGCCCCAGATCAGCACATGAACTCCTCCCGACCCTTAGCTGACTCCTGAACTAGGAGAAGGCTCCAAGGAGCCAGTCATAGAAGGAGCAGCCACCCCTCATCAGGCCTGGTTTAAGACTGACCCACGACCGACAAGGACGCCAAAATAATTCCAGTGGGAAAAAACAGTCTTTTCAACGAATGGTGCTGGGACAACTGGATATCAACATGCAAAAGAAAGAAGTTCAATCTCATCTTACTCGGTATACAAAAATTAACTCAAAGTAGATAAAATACCTAAATGCAAGAGATCAAACTATAAAACTCTTAGAAGGAATGTAACAGTAATCTACATCACTCCTTAGATAGGCAATGGTTTCTTAGATACGACAACAAATGCGCAAGCAGCAAAAGAGAAAATAACATAAATCAGACATCAGCAAAATTAAAAACTTTCGTGCTTCAAAGGACACCATCAAGAAAGTGCAAAGACAACCCACAGCATGGGAGAAAGTATTTGAAAATCACATATCTGATAAGGGACTTGTATTTAGAATATATAAAGAACTCACAGCATGGTAATAAAAGGACAAACAACCCAATTTAAAAGTAGGTAAAGGACTTGAATAGACATTTCTCCAAAGAAGATATACAAAGGCCAACAAGCACAAGAAAAGATGTTCAATATCATTAGACATCAGAGAAATAAAGTAAAGACCACAATGAGATACCACTGATTAGGATGGCTATGATAAAAAAAAAAAAAAAGACGGATAATAACAAGTGTTGGCGAGGATGGAGAGAAACTGGAAACCTCCAACACTGCTGGCGAGAATGTAATATGTTTGCAGCCACTTTGGAAAACAGTCTAGCAGTCCCTAAAAAGATTAAACATGAAGTTACCATATGACCCAACAATCCTGCTCCTCGGTATACACCTAAGAGAAATAAAAACTTATGTCCACACAAAACATTGTACATGAATGTTAATAGCAGGATTATTCATAATAGAGAAAAAGTGGAAACAATCCAAATGTCCATCAACTGATAAACAGGTAAATAAAATGTGTTGTACCCCTGCAATGGAATATTATTTAGTAATACAAAGGAATGAAGTACAACTCATTCCTTGGATGAAGTTTGGATGAACCTTGAAAACATTATGCTAAGTCAAAGAAGCCAGTCACAAAGGACTAAATATTGTAAGATTCCATCTATACGAAATGCTGAGAATAAGCAAATCCATAGAGACGAAAAGTAGACTGGCTGTTGCTTAGGGCTAGGAGAGTTTGAGGGAAAATGAGGGGTGATGGCTAAGGGGCACGGGGCTTCTTTCTTGGGTAATAATGAAAATGTTCTAAAATTGACTGTGGTGGTGATTGCACAACTCCGTGAATATACTAATACCCACTGAATTGTACATGCTAAATGAGTGAATTGTATGGTATGTGAATTATATCTGTAGAAACTGTTTTCTAAAAAAATTTTATATGGCATAGTCATACAATGGGATATGATTTGACAATAAAAAGGAATGAAGTGCTGATATATGGTACAGCGTGGATGAACCATGAAAGCATTATGCTAAGTGAAAGAAGCCAGTCACTAAGGACAACAAATCATATGATTCCATTCATATGAAATGTCCACAATAGACAAATCCATAGAGACAGAAAGTCGCTTAATGGCTGCCTAGAGCTGGGAAGATGGGGGAAATATGGAGTGACTGCTGATGGCCACAGGGTTTCTTTTGGGGATGACCAGAATGTTCTAAAATTGTGGTGATCATTCCATGACTCTATGAATATACTAATTGAACTGTGTACTTCAAAAGGGTGAATTGTATGATTCGTGAATTATATCTCAAAGCTGTTACCAAAAAAAAAGACTGACCCAGAATCAGTCACATGATGTCACCACACCAATGGGAGGCAAGAGAGGACCCAGAGTTCAGAGCCTAAAAAGAGGGTAGGCTGACTGCCCTTGGAGTATGGGGGGTGACACAGCGTGCAGGACGCCTGCCCACACCTCTGCCCCCGTGAGCACTACAGAGTGGAGGCGACACCACAGTCATATTACCAACGGAGAAGAGCCAACCTGCAGGCCCTCACATTTGACTCAAGCCCAGAGGCCGGCAACAAGCTATGTCAACATCCCAGAGCCCTGAACTCGCCCTGTGTCCAACTTGAGAATCACCCAAAACCAGTGGACCAGCGCCATTCTGGTGTCAGGGAACCACACAGGATCAGGTCTGGTCTGGAGACACCCTGCCCAGAAGGCACTGCCAGGCTGGCTGGTCCAAGGCACTGGAGGGACTTAGAAATTTTTGAGGAAGGCACTTCAAAGCACAGAGCCCCCTGAAGTTGGGGCCCTGGACAGCCTTGCTTGTCTGAGGGCAGTACTGCAGAGAATACATGTAGAAAACAAATAAAAAGATGGTGGACTTAAACCAACCATACTGATAACTGTATTAAATATAAATGGACTAAACACTCCGTGTAAAGATTGTCAGACTGGATTTTTAAAAAGCAAGGCCAAATTATGTGCTAGTTACAAGAGACACACTCAAAATGTAAAGATACAGACTGGTTAACAGCAAAACGATAGAAAAATATATACCACATACACACTAAGCATAAGAAAGTCAGTTTCAAAATAAGTACATAGAGATGTTTTTAAAGGCCATTTCGTAACAATGAAAAAAGTTAATTCACTAAAAAGAATTGTGTTAATAATTAATAATACTAAACGTTTACACACTTTAAAACAAAGCTTCAAAATAAATTAAACAAAAATACCCTGCTTCTTATAGAGGAAGAAATAGACAATCACAGTTGGAGATTTTAAAATTCCTTTGTCAGTAATTGACAGACTAACAAAAAAATCAGGAGAGACACAGGAGATTTGAACAACACTATCCATCAGTTTGACCTAATGTACATTCACAGAACACTTCACTCAACAACAGCAGACTACACATTCTTTTCAAGCGTGCGTGGAACATTCAACAAAATATATCATGTGCTGGTCTTTAAGCAACTCTCAATCATTCGAAAGGATTATGTTGAATTTAAAAGACTATGTTCTATGACCTTAACAGAATTAAATTGGAAATAAGTAATAATAAGACATCAAAAAATCCCCAACTATTTGGAAATTAAGCAAAACACTTCTAAATAACCCCAGGGTCTCTCAATGAGACACCACCATACACCTGCCAGAGTAGCTAAAATTCAAAAGGTTGACAACGCCAAATATTAGCAAGTATGGAGAGCAACTGGAACTCTAACAAACTGCTGGTACAAGTTTAAAACGTTACAACTACTTTGGAAAACGCTTTGGGAGTTTCTTAGAAGGTTAAATATACACCTGACTATGACCAAGCTATTCCACTCCTAAGTATTTATCCAAGAGATACTTGTATAAGAATGTTCACAGAAGCTTTATTAATATTAACCAAAAATTGGAAACAATCCACATTTTCAAAAACAAGTGACTGGATAAACAAATTTTCGTATATTCACACAATGGAATACACTCAATGATAAAACGAAATTAACTACGGATATAGGCAACAACGTGAATGAATCTCTAAAACATTATGTTGGGCGAAAGAAGTTAGACAAAAATAATGATTCCATTTACATGAAATTCTAGAACAGGCAAAACTAATCTACGATAATAAAAATTAGAACAATAGTTATATTTGGGGGGGATAGATTGGAAATCATCCCAGGGTGATGAAAATATTCCATAACTTGATTGGAATGGTGGTAATATGGGTGTACATAATTGTCAAAATTCACTAAACTGAACGCTTAAAATCTGTGTATTTTATTGTACGTAAATTATACTTCAAAACAAATGTCAGCTTCTTAAAAAAAAAATCAAGCTCTTCTCAGGTGCTTCTGCATCCTGCGACATTGCAAATCTTCCCAGAAAATGTTGTCAGAGACAAAGAATGCATAATCTTCTATCTTTGGAGTATTAAGATTTAGGGATCCTGTTAAGAAATCAATTAAACAGTCACAAGTCAGATGTAGCTGACAGGCTAAGATGCTGTGGGGTGATCTAACACCTCACGTGGGAGATAATTTTGAGTACTGCCAACTGATTGCAGACTAGGGAAGTGATGCTAAGATTGGATGAGATCTGGCTTTGGAAGGAGAACCCCTAGCTGGGTAAGAGCTTGGATGAAGTGGCACAAAGGGTCAGGGTGATCTTTTTTGATGGGCGAGATTTTCACTGGGGTGGACTCAAGCGAGGAGGAGCAGGACTCTCGATTGGATTGCGTTCAGATGCAATATGGACAAACGCAAGCGTGACCGGGCCTTCGTGGCAATGATAGTGAAGCTGAGGAGTCCCTTGCCTGAGGCTTCCCTGACTGAAGCAGAGACACTTTCAGCTCCAGCCCAGCAGTCTGGCACTGAACCTGATATCAGCAAGGCCAGGAGCCAGCCTGATAACTGAGCCTCTCCTTTGTTTTTCTAACCTCTAACTCTGCCTCCCATTCAAATGTCGCTGCTAGAGCAAAGCCTCTTACCTTGGACTGCATCTTGAAAACTGAAATCACAGCCCCAGCCTGTCCCTTCCGTGGTTTCAGCCCCTGGCCCTGAACTACAGCCAGTGACAGTGATGTTGTGGGGGTAGTACCGTTGTTGTAATGGGACTAGTAATTAGAGTAGTCCTGTAGATGATGCTGTGGTTACTACAGTAGCATCAGTAGCTAATATTTAATGATGCTTAACTATATGCCAGGCCCTGTGCCGAATGTTTAAATGCTTTATCTTATTTAATCCTAACAGGTGTCCCTGTCTTACAGAGGAGGAGACAGCAACTCTTTGTAAATCCTCTGTTATAACTTTGTTCTTGTTGCATAAGTGAGACCCATTCATTATAGGAAAAAATTAGAAGATTCAGGTTAGCAAAAAGTATAAAATCAAAGTCACCCATCACCACATCTCTTTAAGTTATTCTTTACTACGCCCTACCAGGTATAAATTCTTCTATACATTTATAAAAACTGTATGATGCAGTATGTGGTTTAATCAGCTTATTTCATTCAATAACATACTGAACCTTTTTCCCTATTAATAAATATACTTTAAAAACACCATTTTAATAGCTATTTTATATTCCTTCACTATTAATCCAATACACTTACCCAATCTTTTATTGTTAGACATTTAGATTGTTTCCTTTTTTGTTTTTTTTGGTTTTTTTTTTGCTGCAAAAGATTCCCACTGAGCTAACATCTGTTGCCAATCTTCCTCTTTTTGCTTGAGGAAGATTCGCCCTGGGTAACATCTGTTGCCAATCTTCCTCTATTTTGTGTGTGGGACATCAGCACAGCATGGCCACTGACCAGTGGTGTAGGTCCATGCCCAGGAACCGAAACCAGGCCGCTAAAGCGGAGCACGCCAAACTTAACCACTAGGCCACGGGGCTGGCTCCTAGATTATTTCCTTTTTAAACAATTTTTTTGCTGTTATAAAAAATGTTTCACAGACCGTCCTTATAGCCAAATCTTTCCACACCTCTTCCTTTATTGCCCTAGGATAGCTTCCTGGAGTGGGACGGACTGCCGAGTTGAAGAGTGTGGGCATTTTTAAGACTTTGAAGTCCTACAGCCCTGACCTTGCACCCTGGCTGACAGCATGGGACCTGAGGCAAGTCACTCCTGGGTGCTGAGTTTGTGTCCTGTGCTCCTCCTTCTCCTTCTGTTTGCTTCTTTTCACCTTTTACTGCTAACACTCTGTCCACAGGTCTTCTGCTCTTCCCTGATTATAACCCGGGGCAAGGCCCATGCACGTTCCTCACTGTATCCTCACCAGCACCCAGCGCAGAGTTCAGCATCCGGTTAGAGGCAGTCTGGTGCTGCAGAAAGAGTAACGGTCTGGAAGGAAGGCACCCGGTTCCATTCCCAACACTACCCCGACCAGCCTTATGGTCACAAAGCCCTTCATGACCTGGCCTCACTCACCTGTCCAGACTCATCGCCTCTCACGCTGTGCGTTTACACTAGCAGTTCTGAACTAACGGTTCTTAGAACACACCTTGCTTTGGCACATTTCCACGCCTTCGCCCGCATCTCAGGACCGGTAGCCATACTGTGCCTCTGCACCAACGAGGAAAAGGTGCCCCTTCCTCCCGGTGGTGTGCAGGCTGAATGCAGGCCCCGCCTCGCCTCGGCCTGGCACCATGCTGCATTAACCAACCTCACACCACTTCCAAAGCCTGGAACGAACACAGCTAGCCTGGCTAGCAAGCCCCTACTCATCCATCAAGTCTCAGCTCAAATGCTCCCTCCTCTGGGACGTCATCTCACTGGCGCAGGTATAGTTGGTTTTTCTGCTAAGCTTCCCCTGCTTCGTGAATAGCCCCCATGAAAGCACGGACCTTTATTGAATCATGGTTGTTTGTCTATACCCCTCTCCACCCCATTAGATTATCCTCAGTGATTTCCTCTTTTATTCCTCATACAAAGCCCAGTTACTGACACAGAGGAGGAGATCGATAAACCTGAACGGATGCATGAATGAAGGAATGAGTGGCATTTTACCTTTCTGGTCCTCACATTGTTTGAGAATAAAGAAATTAGAATAAGAGATGCCTGAAGTTTCTGCCAACTCTAAAATTCTCTTTTCCAAGATGCATCAGGTAAATATTCGGTGAGCGAATGAATAGCATCTAACCAAAAGAAAATCCCTTTAAAGGGATTTTAAAGGTGTCTTAAAGAGACATGGATCAATTTATTTAAGCTTTCTTCTAGAAATGGACCATTGTGAGTTTTTAGAATCTCTTAAATATTTGCCTTGTCCCTGGAAACCTTTCAGAAACATTTCAGACCATCTGAAATAGAGTTTAAGAGGAATTGCTTTAGGAAACCCTTCCAGAGAGTGGCTTGCTCTTCATCTCATTATGTGAATGACCTGTCTCTGTTATTTGTCTTTCTTGGATATTTTCACAAAAGCAATGCCTATTTCTTGACAAAAGGCAGCATTTTAGCTTCCTTGCGGCTAACGTTACTTCTCTCATGAGAAGAAATTTTACCCTGACTCCCACTTCCCTCTCCAGAGATCTCGTCCCTAAGTGACACTGTCATTCTCCTCAGAAGGGCAGCAAAGCTCCCAAGGGAGTCAGGCCTCTGAGACACTCACAGAAGCAGACGTCTAGACTGGAGGCTGTTTTACAAACTTTTGGGATCCCTGGATAGTCCCCTATCTCCCTGAAATTCTAGTCACAATATTGTGTACATGTGCATTTTCTAAAGGAAGATCAACATCTTTCTTCAGATTCTCAAAGGATTCCCTTGACCCCAAAAAAGTCTAAGTAAGAACCACTGGTCTGGAGTGTGAGCTAAAACAGGCTGGAAAGTGCAGGGGCTTTTAAGATCAGATAATTCTCTAGTGCATTCTTTTGGGTTATACTAAAGACAGATTCCTCAACAGCCACAAACTGGTGTCCTTGGGACCGAGTCACTCCACCCATATCAGTGTCCCTCCCTTAGGGGCTTCCCCAAACCCCTAGGACTTGCTTAACACCCAGCCTGCTCTGCAGACACAGGACAATTCTGGGGGAATGTCAGACACCTGGCACCTCTACCCTTAAGTTTTAATAGTAATGGCTTTGGAGACAGAAGATTGAGTTCCTGAGAGGTCATGGGACCCTCTGAAGACCAGAATCATGATTCCGCCACAAGGGGGCACCCAAAGCCCAGGCAGATGGGAAACCGAGCGTCCTGCCTCGCCGCGACTGTGGAGAGCAGAGAAGTTCCTCTAGCCCTGAGCCAAAGCTCGAAGCTCCTGGTTTTGCAATTGGCCCACAAAGCCCTTCTACCCCCACCCAGTGTCACCCGGGGGTCCTTGTCGCTCTCTTTAGTGCAAACTTTGTGTATGGTTCTTGCCGGCTTCAGTCCTTTCCCTAGAGGTGACCCTGAACCCCACATTCGTCCCTGGGGTCTGCCCTGGATGTGTAATTTGCACTGTGAAGATCCTGATCCTGGGGGAACGCTGCACACACACTTCTGCTCTCCATTCCCTAGAGCTACTCCTGGGGCCCTGAGGGGACTCACCCGGTGCTCAGAGTCATTAGCCGATTTAGGGGTTGTGAGCAGAGCCCAGCAGAGGTGTGCAGATGTCCATGTCGTTAAAACATCTCTAGTGGCCCACTCAGACAAGAAGAATAAGGAAAGGATCATATTCACTTAGGCCAGAGGGAAGAGTTACCAAGAGTAGCTGCAGGTTGCGTGGGGAGCCCAGACTACCATGTGCTCTCGTGAGGTGAGGGTGCAGTTGAGATCCAGAGGCAGGATGCAAATCGAAACCCACCAAAAGGGTATGGACTTAGACAAAATCAAAAATATTAAACTCATAAAGAGAATTTAAAACATTTAAGGGACTTTAGCGTACTCAATCGAGAAGACTCACCTAGACGTATGCGGGCTCCAGTCGGGCATCCCAGCCTCAAATCTCTGACAAATGGACAACTTGAGCCTTCTTGAGATGGTAATCACAGATCACGGTCATACATTGTCCACCTGAGATAGCAAAACTGTTCCCTAGTGGACAGGTGTCCTTTTAACTCCAGGAAGGTTTGGAATTAACGTGGAGGCTTTGTACTACGTCAGCTTAGCTAAAATGAAACCACGTTTCTTGGGAATCCCCCCGTGGATGGTTCCAGGTTAGGGCTGGTCACAAGAGAAATGTGTGAGGTGTGAAAGAGAGAAAGGCAGAACTGAAGCCGCAGCCACTGTGCTCTGGAGGTCGGTGTGGGGTGCTGGAGCCGCAGCAGTTCACGCACATTGTCTCTGCCCTGCTGCCTCACTTTGTCAGCATGGGTAGCGGCCAGTCCTGAGGGCCTCCAGCTCCTGTCAGATCTTCGGCTTCTCCAATGCCTGGGCCAGGCACGTGCGCATCTCCACGGCAAAGGGAGCCATGTCCTTCTGCAGATGACCCAAATCATCAAGAATAGAGGTGCTGAGGGACAGATACAGATCCCACGTGGCCCTTGCTCCTCCCCACTTCATATCCAGCATTTCTCCCCAACTGACCTCTGGTGATGTCACGCCTACCACAGATGCAGAGGCAACAGACCTCCAGACTCCTTCTCCAGTTCCTTATCCCATATCACTCAGGGTGGTTTCGCTTCTCTGGTCAAACCTCAGTTGACACAAATCAAAAGTGATGGAGCAATTCAAACTCATGCTAAGTTTCACATAAGTTCTAATCAGGGGCCGGCCTGGTGCTACAGTGGTTAAGTGCACACCTTCCGCTTCTCAGCGACCAGGGGTCTGTCAGTTCAGATCCCGGGTGCAGACATGGCACCATCTGGCAAAAGCCATGCTGTGGTAGGCGTCTCACATATAAAGTAGAGGAAGATGGGCATGGATGTTAGCTCAGGGCCAGTCTTCCTCAGCAAAAAGCGGAGGATTGGCAGTAGTTAGCTCAGGGCTAATCTTCCTCAAAAAAAAAAATAAGTTTTAATCATTGGGACAATTCATGTATATTCGGTATTTAAAGTTTTCGTAATGCTTAAAAGAATTTAATATAGAAGAGCTATAAGATTAGCCTCATTATTCTATTAAAAATGTGTGATTGAATTTCAATTAATGATTCTATGTGGAAGGGTGTAAAAAGTGTTGACTTTAAACAAAATTATAATGTTTGAGGGAACTTATGATTCACTGTATCTAAACGTTTATTAGACTTACAGAAAGTATTTAAGTATTTAAGAAGTTTTTTCTTGTTAGGCTCATAAGCTGTCCAGTCATGCCTCTGAGTACTTAAAAAGAAAATCAAATATGTGAAATTTAGGTACAAAATTTAAAATACTTACAGGAATTCAGTGGAATCTGGCTCCCCTCCCAGACAACAAGTGCACTGGCAGAATCCATCTGATGTAACTATTTTGGAACTCCAGAGTCTGTCAAAGGCTTGCAACTTCCAAAGGAAGACTTGAACAGTAAATTATGGTTAATTTTGGCCAATTTCAGCTATTAGCACAGTAGCAGCTACCCATCCTCTAACCCCAACCATGCGCCAGACAGCTATACACATGTTCCCAGAGTACTCTGCACACAGCTTGGGGGAACCAGGGCATACAGCACCCTGTCTTCTAAATATCGGGAATCTGTACTCTGATGGCTGCTTGCTGCTTCTGATCACAGAGGTGCAGACAAAAAGGCAGGTGGCCATTGTTGCTGAACCTCCTCAAATTGTTGCAAGGTCCTCCCTCTGTGGCTAAAATGACTTCAAGGGGACTTAAAGAGTTGGTACCCTTTTCATCTCCCTCTTCATTTTTCACTTTTTCCCCTTTCAGGAGCCAGACATTAAAGGCTAGGACACTCAAAATCAACTGCATATATGGGGGAATGAGAAAGTGACCATACCTGCACAGGGAAAGGTTCAGAAGAGACCTGAGAAGACCTTAGGTTTACCCCTCAGGCTGAGCCTCAGCATAGAGACAGCCTACAACAATCAAAACAACAACAACAACAAACAACAGCAAACCCTGGGGAAGGGGGAGAATCTAATTTCCAGAGTCACCACATTATTAGGTTCAAATGTCCAGTATTCAACAAAAAAATCACAAGGCATACACGGACACAGGAAAGTATGGCCCATACAAAGGGAAAAAATAGATCAATAGAAACTGTCCCTGAAAAAGATCTAATAGTAGATCTACTCAAAAAATACTTTAAAACAACTGTTTTAAAGATGTTCAAAGAACTCAAGGAAGATGTGAAGAAAGGCAAGGAAACAATGTGTGAACAAAATGAAAATATCAATAAAGAGATAGAAAACCTAAAAAGAAGCCAAAAGAAATTCTGGAGCTGAAAAGTACAACCAAAAATTTCCCTAGAGGGATTCAAAGGCAGATTTGAGCAGACAAAAAAAAGAATCAGAAAACTTGAAGATGAGACCATGGAAATTATTGAATCTGAAGAACAGAAGAAAAAAAAAAGAAAAGAAAAGCAAACAGAGTCTAAGGAACCTGTGAGATACCATCGAGAGGATCAACATATGCAAGATAGCAGTCCCAGAAGGCCAAGAGAAAGAGAAAGGGGCAGACAGAATATTTGAAGAAATAATGGCTGAAAACTTCCCAGATTTGAAGAATAACATGAATATAAACATCCAAGAGGGTCAACAAACTCCACGTAAGATGAACTCAAAAACACCCACACCAAGACGCATTATAATCAAGCTTTCAAAAAGCAAGAACAAAGAAAGAATCCTGAGAGAAGCAAGTCATCACATACAAGAGATGCTCCATAAGATCATCAGCAGATTTCTCATGAGATATTTTGGAGGCCAGAAGACAGCGGGCCAATATACTCAAAGTGCTAAAAGAAAACACTATCAACCACAAAAGCTATACACAGCAAAACTGTCCTTAAAAAGTGAGGGAGAAATTAAGACATTGCCAAACTAAGCTGAAGAAGTTCATGACCACTAGACCTGTCCTGCAAGAAATGCTCAAGAGAGGCGTGCAAGGTGAAATGAAAGGACACCAGACAATAACTCAAAGCTGTAGGGAGAAATAAAGATCCCAATAAAGGTAAATATGTGGGAAATTATAAAAGCTAGTATTATCACCACAGGGGCTTTGTAACTGCACTTCTTGTTTTCTATATGATTTAAGAGACTAATAGTCAAAGAAAAAATAACAATTATTAGTGTAAAAGCTAGTATTACTGACACTTTGGTTTGTGACTCCAAATCTGGCTTTCTACATAATTTAAGAGACTAACACATTTAAAAGAATTATTAATTTACGTTTGGGGGCACACAATGTATAAAATGTAATTCTGTGACTTCAACAACTGAAAGGGGGTGGAGATGGACCTGTAAAGGAGCAGAGTTTTTATATGTTTTTTAAATTAAGCTGGTATAAATTCAAACCAGAATGTTATAACTTTAGGATGTTAAATGTAATCTCTATGGTAACTACCGAGAAAACAGCCATAGAATAAACACAAAAGGAAATGAAAAACGAATATAAATATTTCACTACAAAAATCAACTTAACACAAACGAAGACAGGAATGAAGGAAATGAGGGACAAAAAAGCTATGAGGCATATAGAAAACAAATAGCGCAATGACAGAACTAAGACCCTCCTTATCAGTAATTACTTTAAATGTAAATGGAATAAGCTCTCCAATCAAAAGATAGAGATTGGCAGAATGAATAAAAACCCATGATCCAACTATATGCTGTCTACAAGAGACTCACTTGAGATCCAAAGATACAAACAGGTTGAAAGTGAAAGAATGGAAAAAGATATTCCATGCAAATAATAACCAAAAGAGAACAGGGGTGGCTATACTAATATCACACAAAACAGACTTTAAATCAAAAAAAGGTTACAAGAGACAAAAAAAGGACATCACATATTAATAAAAAGTTCAATATAGTGGGCTTGGTCCCGTGGTGTAGCAGTTAAGTTTGTATGTTCCACTTTGGCGGCCTGGGGTTCATCAGTTTGGATCCTAGACACAGACCTACACATCACTCACCAAGCCATGCTGTGGCAGTGTCCCACATACAAAATAGAGAAGATAGGCACAGATGTTAGCTTAGCAACAATCTTCCTCAAGCAAAAAGAAGAAGAGTAGCAACAGATGTTAGCTCAGGGCCAATCTTCCTCACCAAAAAAAAAAAAAAAGTTCAATACAACAAGAAGATACAACAATTATAAACATTTACACACCTAATGACAGACTATCAACATATATGAAGCAAAAACTGACAGAAACGAAGGGAGAAATAGATGGTACAATAATAGTTGGAGACTTAATACCCTACGCATGATAATGGGTAGAACAACCAGACAGAAGATAAGTAAGGAAATAAAGGACTTAAACAATACAATAAACCTACTAGATCTAAAAGGCATATAAGAACACTCTACCCAACAACAATAAAACACACATTCTTCTCAAGTGCATGCGGAACATTTTGCAGGATAGACCATACGTTAGGCCACAAATTAAGTCTCAAAAGATTTTAAAAGATAGATATTGTATAAAGTATCTTCTCTGACTACAACAGGATGAATTTAGTAGTCAATACCAAAAGGAATACTGGAAAATTCACAAAATTGTGGAAATTAAAGAACACACTCTTAAACAACCAATGTATTAAAGAAGAAATCACAAGGTAAATTAGAAAATATTTAGAGATAAATGCAAATGAAAACACAGCATGCCAAAGCTTTTGCAATGCAGCAAATGTGGAATTAAGGGGGAAATTTATAGCTATAAATGCTTACATTAAAAAAACAAGAAAGATCTCAAATCAACAACCTAACTTTACAACCTAACTAAGGAGCTAGAAAAAGAACAAACTAAACCAAAAGATAGCAGAAGGAAGGAAATATAAAGATTAGAGCAGAAATAAGCAAAATAGAGAATAGAGAAAATCAACGAAACCAAAAGCTCATTCTTCAAAAAGACCGAAAAAATTGACAAACCTCTAGTTACACGGACTAAGAGAAAAAGAGAGAAGACTCAAATTACTAAAATCAGAAATGAAAGTGGAAACATTACTACTTATTCCACAGAAATAATAAGGATTATAAGAGAGTAGTATGAACAATTGTACACCAACAAATTGGATAACCTAGATAAAATGAACAAATTCTCAGAAACACAAAACCTACAAAGACTAAATCATGAAGAACTAGAAAATCTGAATAGACCTACAATTAGTACAGTCATGCATCAGTTAACAATTGGGATACGTTCTGAGAAATGCATTGTTAGGTGATCTTGTGGTTGTACAAACGTCATAGAGTATATACACAAACCAAGATGGTATAACCTACTATACACCTAGGCCATATGGTACTAATCTTATGGGGCCACCATTGTATATGCAGGCCATCGTTGACCAAAACATCATTATGCAGCACATGACTGTAAGGAAATTGAATCAGTAATCAAAAATCTCCCAGCAAAGAAAAGCCCTGGACCTGATGACTTCACTGGTGAATTCTACCAAGTATTTAAAGAAGAACTAATACCAATCCTTCTTAAAATTTCTAAAAAGTTGAAGAGGAGGGAACATCTTCTCATTTTATGAGGCCAATATTACCCTGACACCAAAGCCAGACAAGACATTATAAGAAAACTACAACCCAATATCCTTTACAAACATTGATGCAAAAATCCTCAAGAAAATACTAGCAAACAGAATTCAGTAGCATATTAAAAGGATTATACACCATGATCACGTGGGATTTATTCCTGGAATGCAAGGATAGTTGAACATGAAAATCAATCAATGTAATATACCACATCAATTAAGGAAAAAACCACATGACCATCTCAACTGATGCAGAAAAGAGCATTTGAGAAAATCCAATACTTTTCATGATAAAAACATCAACACACTAGGAGTAGAAGGAAACCACATTAACACAATAAAACCCATATATGAAAAACCCACAGCAAATACCATCCTCAAAGATGAAAGACTGAAAGCTTTTCCTCTAAGATCAGAAACCACCTGAAGGATACTCGCTTTTGCCACATTGTTATTATTATTATTATTATTATTATTGTTATTAAACATAGTACTGGAAAGTTTAGCCAGAGCAATTAGGTAAGAAAAATAAAAGGCATCCAAATTGGAAAAGAAGAAGTAAAATTACCTCTGCTTGCAGATGATATGATCTGATATGTAGAAAACACTAAAAATTCCACACAAAAAAACCTGTTAGAACTAATAAATGAATTCAGGGGCCGGCCCCCTGGCCCAGTGGTTAAGTTCTCATGCTACACTTCAGCAGCCATGGTTTCACCAGTTCAGATCCTGGGTGCAGACATGGCACTGCTCATCAGGCCATGCTGAGGTGGCATCCCACATGCCACAACCAGAAGGACCCACAACTAAAATATACAACTATGTACTGGGGGGCTTTGGGGAGAAGAAGAAGAAGAAGACGAAAAAAAAAGAAGATTGGCAACAGATGTTAGCTCAGGTGCCAGTCTTTAAAAAAAATTTTTTTTTAAATAAGAAATAAATGAATTCAGAAAAGTAGGATACAAAGTCAACACACAAAAGTCAGTTGCATTTCTATATACTAACAATGAACAAACTGAAAAGGAAATTATAAAAACAATTTCATTTACAATAGCACCAAAAAGAATAAAATACTTAGGAATTAACTTAACCTGGAGATGAAAGCCTTGTACAAGGAAAACTACCAAACAGGGGGCCAGCCCCGTGGCCGAGTGGTTAAGTTCGCACATTCCACTTCGGCAGCCTGAGGTTCACCGGTTCCAATCCTGGGTGTGGATCTACACACCACTCATCAGGCCATGCTGTGGTGGCGTCCCACATAGCAGAACTAGAATGACTTACAACTAGGATATACAACTATGTACTGGGGCTTTGGGGAGAAAGAAAAAAAAAAGAGGAAGATTGGCAACAGATGTTAGCTCAAGGCCAATCTTCCTCACACACACACACACACACACTCACACAAACAAAAAGATGAGTTGTTGCTGTTGTGGTTAATGGTTACTTTAAAAAAAATGGAAAAAACACTTAAATAAATGGAAACATATCCCATGTTCATGGACTAGAAATTTAATATTGTTAAAAACGTCAATACTACCCAAAGCAATCTACAGATTCAATGCAATTTCTATCAAAATTCCAATAACATTGTTTGCAGAAATAGAAAAACCCATACTAAAATTCATATGGAATCTCAAGAGACCCCAAATAGCCAAAACAAT